CAGCAGCAGCAGCAGCAGCAGCGTAGCAGCAGCAGTAGCAGCAGCAGCAGCAGCAGCAGCAGCAGTAGTAGTAGCAGCAGCAGCAGCGACAGCAGCAGTAGCGGCGGCAGTAGCAGCAGCAGCAGTAGTAGTAGTAGCAGCAGCAGCAGTGGCAGTAGTAGTAGTAGTAGCAGCAGCAGCAGCAGCAGCAGCAGCAGCATTAGTAGTAGTAGTAGCAGCAGCAGCAGCAGCAGCGGCAGTAGTAGTAGTAGCAGCGGCGGCAGTAGCAGCAGCAGCAGTAGTAGTAGTAGCAGCAGCAGCAGTGGCAGTAGTAGTAGTAGCAGCAGCAGCAGCAGCAGCAGCAGCAGCAGCAGCAGCAGCAGCAGCATTAGTAGTAGTAGTAGCAGCAGCAGCAGCAGCAGCGGCAGTAGTAGTAGTAGCAGCGGCGGCAGCAGCAGCAGCAGCAGCATCAGGATCTGACACACGAACTATTTGCGTCGTTAATGCTGTGACGAGATATCGTGGTCAGGCAGTGAATGCTGTGCTGACCCGCCAAGCTATCGCGGTCAGCCGGTCAAGGCCCGTGTCCCCGAAGCCATGATTAGTGTCTGACGTATGGACATGCACACGAGCGGGAAGGTATCACGGTAGGTCAGGGCTGCTGCCACCATGGTAAGCACTGCTGCTGCAGCCATTGCCAGCTGCTTGCCTTGTGTTTTTCTTCTCTGCTATCACTGATGTATCACTCTTCACTATAAGCACACAACCATACTAACTGCACTCACATAAACGCTACGATTAGTGAATTGGTTACATGTTTTTTTCACACAATTATAATCTAGTGAAAAAATTCCGAATCAATACGGACCGATCAGTCTTTCCATGCAGATAATTAGTGATTATGAAAGATCGCACTGTGACTAAGGCTGTAATACGCACTAATATCGTTTAAGGCTGTATGCGTACGTGAGACGAGTGGTATGAATACACAGTTGCTATGAAATGGAACATGGCACACACAGGCACGGACATGCACACACGAACGCACCCACTCAAGCAACGCAAACACACGTACGTAGGCGAACTCGAACAAAACAAGTTAATCGCAATATATTACCATTCCCGAGCAAATTTAATCTAGATGTCTGTAAAATACCATGTGCGGATGTTATAAGATGTAGTAACATCCGACTTGTATGGATTCAAATATTCGCGAAGCATTTCATACTCTTTGTGTTACAGCAGCAACGACGGCATGCAGGGATTTTCGGTCGAGTGAGAAGATTCTAGAAACGACACGCTGGGTACAGGGGCTAGTGACAACATCGCCAAAACTAGTGACACACAGCCGACCTAATGGGCTTTGGTCAGCTCTTTGATCGGGCGTCTGAGTTAATTAATTTCGGTTCACAAAATGCCCATGCACTAGGGTATCGAATTTATTAACAAGTGCCGCAGTGCGACAGGGCTTATCTGGTGTCTGGTGTTCTGCTGATAAATTCATTTGTGCATAGCAAGACGTCTTATACATAAGTCTTCTTTATCTTGTTTGACTTTCGTAGCCAATTCGAACAAATATATCAGCTACACTTTCGCACCCACCTAAAAAAATGGTAGGTCACCGCTGAAACAAAAAAGATTTTCAATCGCTCGTCAGACCATGTCCTCAGAAAATGTCTAAAATCTGCCGTGTGCCCCATTCACCTTTGACCTGTGACCTCCAATTTAGGCACAGTGATGGCTTTTTCTACCATGATGCTATACACTGACTATCACGAGCCTAGGTCGAGCCGTTTAGATTTGTGCCGCAATTCTGCATTTCCTCCCTATACCTTAAGTTAAGGAGGGAATGTTCACCCTTCTTTTACACCTCTTGACCTTTGACCTTTGACCCCCCAGCTTCGACATTCCAACTCGTTTTCGGATGACCCCGTCCCCCACCCCCCACGTCCCGAATATCGTGACCGTACGTTGAGCCGTTTAGATTGGTGCTCAACTGTTGACGGACGGACGGACGTACGCACGCACGGACGATCATGCGATTCTACAAGCTGCATCTGACTATGTCAGATGAGCTAAAAAGTATTGAACGAAATTTGTATATTTATATTTAATATGTACCATCAATTTTCAAAAGAACAAATCTGAAGTGTAAGCTCAGTATTACAAGTAGTTTTTGAGATTTTGCTGAAAAGGGGTACGTGTCAATTTTAGTTAAAAATGCCACCTTCGCTTTTTATGCAATATCGGGGCTTCGTATCTATGATAATATTGCACTTGAATAATTATTATATAATAATAGCTCGAATACTATATAATGGTAATAATATCCATTCAAATAGCCGTGGAATACTGTATACGCCATATTTTTCTCATACAGATATTTTCGCGAATTCAGACTTGACGGACAATTTCGCGAGTGGTTAATTTCGCGGTCGGTAAATTATGAATTATTCGGTATTATTCAGTATGAACTATTCGCATGTTGTTATTTTCGCAGTCGGGGACGCGCGTTCACGAAAGTCGCGAAAATTAAACCACCACGAAATATACAGCTTATACAGTATTGGTTCAAATTTTGAAGTAAATAATTAGCAAGAGTGCACGAACCTTCTCAAATAATGATGAAACATGATCAATCAGATTAGATTAAGTTAGATTGGATTAGACTAGATTAGATTAGATTAGATTAGATTAGATTAGGTTAGGTAGAACAGATTAGATTAGATAAGGGGGTCGTTTACGAGATGTAATGGAATTGGATCTCAGCACGGAAACACGAGGGGTGGGGAATCGCTCCTGACGTAACACGTTGCTGTCGCATCCGGGGGGGGGGATGAGGCTGGTACCGAGAGGAAGCAGGAAGCCACAGAGAGGTGGCCGCGACGGTGACGTGAATGAAATGCGGGAGATGAAAGAGGTCGACGGAAGAGGAGTGGATACAGACAGACGCGGGCGGGCGCGCAGTGAGAGGAGAAACGGGTCAGTGGGCCCGATGACGCGGATGTTAAACGACGCTGAAGGTTTCCCGCGCCGCAGCTGCATCACACGTGCGCCTGCGCTCGCAGCTGCTGCTGCTGCTGCTGTTCGGATGCAGCTGCGGCGCATCAGCATCGGTCGGCATGCTGCGATGACGTGGGATGGGATGGGGTAGCACACACCACACACGCCCACACATACACACGCACACACGCACACACGCGCACGCACGCACACACACACACGCGCGCACGCACTTACGCACGCACGCACGCACACACACACGCGCACGCACTTACGCACTTACGCACGCACGCACACACACGCGTACGCGCTCACGCACGCACGCACACACACATACACGCACGCACACACGCACGCACGAACGCACGCACGCACGCACACACACACACACACGTGCGCGCACACACGCACGCACGCACGCACACACACACACACACACACACACGCACATAAACCGTAAGGCACGGGGCTGTACTCAGCTCCCATCTCAGCTGATCGCATGCGCACTCAAGTGTATAGCTCCCCACATTTTCGCCGCACCTGATCACACATGCGGCCTTCCTCCACCTCCTCAGCACAACGCTCAGACTTTCCACCGCTCTCTCGCCATCTTTGGCTCGCCATGTATATGTATTACCCCCCCCCCCTCCCCATCTACCCTCTTCACCCGCGAGATGCTTACTACTCACGTATAAATCTCCACGCGGCCGTTCACAAATCCGCCTCCCCAATTCTATTCCACTCCCTACACTCTTGCCTACGCGCCGCGCACGTGTGCGATCAAACACAGGAAGTAAACGTAAATTACACACGACTGAAAATAGCAGCAGAACGCAGGCGCCTTGCAGAGTGAGCGCGCACACATATATACACACATCCGCGCACCGTATCCACTATCCACTCAGACACAAACACGGTGCGTCTGCCTGTGCCTGCATTTGCCTGTCTCCCGGTCTACAAATGCCCTAGGAAGATTCTCTGGGACGGATTTCAAGATAAGGTGGGGGGGGGGATCAGCCTTGCACGTTTGGGGCGGGAAACAATAAATGCTTCCCATTCTGGGACCAAATGAAAACAGGATACATACACAGCTACATACACAGCTGTCTGTCTGCCTGTATGCTTGCCTGCGTATATACCTACCTGCTTTCCGGATTGTCTGCCTGCTTACCGCATGCATGTAGGCCTGGCATCCCCCCGCCTGTCTATACAAGTCAGATTTCCTTCTTCCCCATGCGCCCGCCTGCCCGTCCGCCTGTCTGATTTCCTTCCTCCGCATGCGCCTACCCGCCCGCCTGCCCGTCCGCCTGTCTGATTTCCTTCTTCCGCATGCGCCCGCCTGCCCGTCCGCCCGTCTGATTTCCTTCTTCCGCATGCGCCCGCCCGCCCGCCCGCCTGCTCGCCTGCCCGTCCGCCTGTCTGATTTCCTTGGGTTTGTCTATATTCAGGCCGGTACAGGAGATAATTTGCATATTTTGTCACGTGGTTTGTGTTATAACCAATCAGATGTAATCGCGTGTTCGTGACGTCACTTCCAGCGATCTCATGTGCAGAAGTGTGAAGCATGGTGAGGTGGTAGAGAATGAGGAGGGGAGAAGCTGGTGAAGAAGGAGGAGGGGGAGAAGCTGGTGGAGAATGAGGAAGGGGAGAAGGGAGAAGGTGGTGGAGAAGGAGGAGGGGAGAAGCTAGTGGAGAAGTAGGAGGGGGAGAAGCTGGTGGAGAATGAGGAAGGGGAGAAGGGAGAAGCTGGTGGAGAAGGAGGAGGGGGAGAAGCTGGTGGAGAATGAGGAAGGGGAGAAGGGAGAAGGTGGTGGAGAAGGAGGAGGGGAAGAAGCTGGTGGAGAAGGAGGAAGGGGAGAAGGGAGAAGG